TCCCTCTCCCATCAATGCACCGCACGAAGAAAAACCCAAATCCAAGATGTTTTCACTCAGCATTTGATGTGACTATGTCTCATCAGTGGATAGTTAAGCTTTCTAAATACATAAATGTTGAAAAGCTAGTGTAAGCAATGTATATAGATTAAAATGTCTAAATCATGAAAAGCATATTAAGAACATTTTAGTTATGAAGATAATGCATTTATAAGTAATTCTTTGCCTTCATTGCCTAAGATTTTGAAAAAAATCTGCTCAAAGAATTTAAGCGTTTGGATGACTACTTAAACACCCCACTTCTGGATGAAATTGATGTAGACAGTGCTGAGGAACTCACAGTTTCCAGAAGATCGTTCTTGGATGGGGATCAGCTAACACTGGCTGACTGCAGCTTGCTACCTAAGCTGAACATTATTAAGGTTAGTCTTTGCAGGCTGCTGGGTGTAGAGGGCTTTGTGAAGTGCCAAAAGGTAACACAGTAACCTTCTGGTTTAACATTGTTAGTTTTGTCATCATTGTCATGCATAGAGTACATCTCCTTTTTCTCCTCAGAGAAAAGATCTATAATTGTCTCCCCTAGCAAGCATTAAAACTTCTTGTTTCTTTCTTCCTAAATCAGGTTTTTTCCATTGTCTTGTCTATAAAAAAGGATAATAATATTAACCCTTTTCAAAGAATTACTGAAAAAAAATCCAATAAATTAATCATATAAAATGCTTAGAACACACAGTGCCCTGGTTCACAGCATTGGTTATCAACAATAGGGGCTATTAATATGATGAAGATTTAATCATTAGTTTAACAAATATTAGTTGACCAGAACTTGCACAGAATTTACTCTTTATAGTTTGTGCCAGACACAGAGTACATAAACTAACAAGAAATAACCAAGACCCCAAATAAATTCCTGGGGATGTTATATTTTCTTTTCTATGCTCCCCTCCTCTAAACATATTCATAATTAAACACACCACCAATAAAAACACTTATAGATAAAATATTAAAATAGTGCATCCAAGATTCAAATTTATTTTGTAGTACTTGACTTTTGGGATGCGTTTCTACACAATAGGTATGTTACTGATGTCTTTTATTATCCCTTATTTTTCTTCATTTTTACCTAAATCCTAGGTTGCTGCCAAGAAATATCGTGACTTTGACATTCCAGAAGAATTCTCAGGAGTCTGGCGCTATCTGCGCAATGCTTATGCCCGTGAAGAATTTATCCACACATGCCCTGAAGACAAAGAAATTGAAAACACTTATGCAAGTGTGGCTAAACAGAATTAGGGCAGCTCTTTCAGGAGAAAAGGCTTTACTTTTATCAGATTTTACTTTCTACCATATTAGAAAGCCTTTTTAGAAATAAGATTATGAAAAATATCATTTCCTCTGTCCGTCTCAATTATGAAAAGGAACTCTGTATTTTCTCTAGTTAGCCATAAATTATCCACTGTATATTTTATATATTTTCATATTTTCACTTCATTTCTTTCTTTCTGTGGCAAATCATTGATTGTGATCTTCGAGGACATGGAAAGCATTGAGATCTTTTGCCCTTTGCTTGAGTTCCTAGGATGCATAATATATGAGCTAAGCAGATTTCTGAAGCTACCAATGACATAAGTAGAACCACAATCTCAAATTGCTCCTTAGAAACAATTCTATCTAAATCATTAAATAATTTTACATTTGTTACTTTAATGCATGCATGAGTTTATTTCTGGTGTGAATAATAAACTGAGTGAGTGAGAAGATCAGAAAGACAAATTCTAAAAGGCTTTTTTAAAAATTCAGTATATTAATCCAGACCAATTGGTTTTGAACAGTATTGAAGCATTCGAGACCTAGAAATATGATTACTTCATTCTCAGAGAAATGACTATGGCCTTTGAGGCCAGATTATATCATTGTTAAGTGAGCAAGGATTCATTTGATAATTATATTTTTAAATTTATTTATTTTTATTAGTACATGTTTGCAGTACATAATGACCACATTTACTATGGGAGATTTGTATATGTATGTAACACATCTTAATTCTTTTTTGTCCCCTGTCCCTCTCCATTTTCCAACCTTTCTTCCCCTCCTTTTTTGCAAAAGGTGTATTTTCATTTTTCCATCAATTCTTTTTTCTTTAACTCCCTTTCCCTTTCTTCTCTCTCTCTCCTCTCCCATCTCTTGTTCCCCTTCTTATTTGAACAAGTTATTTCTACTTCCTAATATATCTCCTCCATTTTGCTCCATATTTATCCTTTGGGTTTCTCACACAAAAGAAATAATACAATAGTTGAACATTTTATTCATAGAAATTTTAAAAAACTAAGAAATTCGGCTGACCAAAAGGTCTCATTGCTGCCCATAAAAGGATAAGCTCTTCAGACCTTAGAAGATGATCACAAAGCTTTCAACAGAATTTAAATCATACTACTTGTATTGAGATTCTTAAGTGTACTTACTGCATGTAACTTGTTAAAGAACTTTTGAGTCATTAAAATCAAGAAATAAAAGCTGAACTTAACTCTTCCTCCTTCAAAGGAATCAAAGCAGAAGTGCAGTTTCAAATAAAAAGGAACATGCGGTTATTATAGGTGAAAGGTGGGTGTTTAGATGAAATTTAAATGAAACAGTGTTTGGGCCAGGGATTTAGCTCAGTGGTTCTGCCACCTGCCTCGCAAGAGCAAGGTCCCAAGTTTGATCCCCGGTATCAAAAAACAAAACAAAAAAACAGGGTTTTTATAGACTTACGGTAATATAAGACACATACTCACTCCTCAAGATGACTGTGAACTTTATGTATTAAGAAGACAAAGAATAAGTAAAATAATAAGTAAAGAATTAATATCAGACCTAAGCATATAGAAATGGCCCAAAGTACTGTCCTCAAAAAGCAGAGTTAAGATAAATATATAATGTCATATGCCCTCTTTTCTGGAAGACTTCTCATTTGAGAGTTTGCACCTGGTCTGTCAGTTGGGGTTGTAGCTTCTCTGAACAGCTCAGATCTTTCTATCTTCATTAATATGATTTCAGAAAGTAAAAATTTTAATGATCTGCAATTTTAAATAACAAAGTTTCTCAGTACCATGCCCTGAAATTTATTAACCAATCCCATTTTTACAGATTTAAAGATAAAGTACGCCACCACTAAGCCTCACCATGTATCAAATAGTGGTAAGTAGTTACCCAATTCTTTTACCCTCTTAAACAAAGAATTATTATTTTTATGAAGGCTGTGTGGGAGCTACCAGGGCCAGAGGAAATAAGTGTCCCAGCCTTACTTCATATTATCTTTATAGATGATATCAATATAATTCAAATCAATTATTTATTACTTACTATGTTGTTATTATTTTGTTATTTAATCCTTACAACAACTCCATGATGTATGTAGAAGCACATTTCTCAAATATTATTTACAGATGAGTGAACCAACAGGAAGATAACCATTTGAAAAGTATTAGAGGAACAGAGACTTATATAGGAAGGAAAGGAATGCTGACAGGTGATAAATAATTTCACTGATGAACTTTCTGCAAGACAATAAGACACTTTATCTCTGGGGTTAAGAACTCTATGGGGCTGTACAATCATAATAAATTGTTGATTTCTGCACATTTACAGTTATAAACTTAAAGGTCTCCAAATCATCTGTACCTTTATCAATTTTGGATTCTTTAGTCAAATACATTGCTACAGCAATGTTGCCTTCTCTGAGAATCAGATTAACTCAGTCAAGCTTATTAGAACATACTTTATTTTGACTAGCATTGTTTTATATTTTTCTAGGATGAGGATAATTATTTTATTTCAAAATAATTATTCAAATTATTCCCAGTTTATAGAGAAGACAACATGTACTCAGAGTGTTTCAAGAATTATTATTTTATTTTACTAATGAAGAAACTAAAATTCAAGTTAATTAGATATCCATCCCAATTTTGCTCATCTAGTGAGTGGTAGAGTTGTGATTTGAAGTCACACTTTTAGTTAGAGAGTAACAGCTTTACCCCTAAGAGATGATCCCTATTTTCAAAAAGTGCACAGTTCAACAATGGAAGCATGCACTAACAATATGTGTATTATGAAGAAGGTCAAGCACAAGGTTCTATAACAGAAATACATTCTTATGTGTTCCTCTAGCCTGACCACAAATGAGTGTGTGTGAGGGAGTATTCAGGAGAGAGCTCTCCTGGACTGATGTGCTGTCCAATACGTTTCTAGGATCATGGGAAGAGTTTATCATACCCTGACAGGATTCAGGGACTTCAGGAATAATGGCAGCAGCCCCAGTCCAACCCAACAAGTTACTCAGTATAGGAAAGACAAATTTTACCCATTAGGGTCACATTTTTTAATTTTGCTTTTTATCCGGGGATTGAGCTCAAGACCCTGTGCTTGTGAGGCAGGCACCTGGTAGGGTCACATTTTTTAAAAAAGGAATTTTTATTTTGAAAAAATTGCGTGATGGCACAAAAATATATAGCAGTGGACTAAAAAGTCCATGTATGGGAATAGGTATAAAAATTTCCTATCTAATAGGATGGTATGTCTGAGCAGTTGGTAAAAAGATGGACTTCTTTTTTACTACAAAGATGGATTTCTTTTTTACTAAATGTACTGGGACAACTACTTGAAAAAATAGAGCAGGTTTCTCACTCCTTACATTGAAATAAATTCCAGATAAATAGTATAACTAAATTCACAAAGGAAAACACGAAAGTATTATGACCTTTCTAAAGCTATCACAAAAACTAGAAAGCATGGGGGGAAATTAATAAATTTAACAACATGAAAATTATATCTTTCAATGGAAGTTCCTCTGCTGATCATGACAGTATAATACTACTCTGCCTCCCCAACATAAACAAAAAACTGTATGAAATATGTGAAACTGTTTTCAGTAATTGAACACTAGGCAGCACAAAATTGTTACCCTCGGCAGAAGACAAGTAAGCCGTATGAGCCTTGCTATGACTGCGGTATTCAACCTAAGGGCACTCATCAGGAGAGCGCGTAAGTAGAGGACAGTGGTTTCAGTGGATCCAATTTTAAAACACATAACTTAAAACTCACCATATTGACTACTATTAATCATACGGTTGAGGAATATATGCCCATCAATAGATAAATTGATAAAGAAAATGTGATATATGTACACAATAATTCAGCTGTACGCAGAATAAAATTTTGTCATATTCAGGAACATGGTGGATCTGGAGCTTATCACAGTGAGTGAAATAGGCCAAACTCAGACAAATATCACATGTGGAATCTAAAAAAGTTGGAAATAAAGTAGAAGGATACTATTATTAGACAAGAGGAGGAGACTAACAGGGAGTAGGAGGAGGGTGAAAGGGCAGGTAATGGGGGAATGGATATGATCCGTTTTGAAAAATTGTGATTAAAAAATACATAACATAAAACTCACCATGTTAACTATTTTTAATCATTTTAATCACCACATTAACTATTTTTTACTATTTTAATCATTTTAACTGTTTTAATCACCATATTAACTATTTCAATCATACATATTTCTAATAATATTAACTATTTTGTCATACAATTTTAACTATTTTTAATCATAAAACTTACCACATTAACTATTTTAATCATATTTTAATTCATCATATTAACTATTTTTAGTCATAGGAATAGTAAATTGTGGAAGCAGTCTATTCACCAACAGATAAATGGATAAAGAAAATATGGCATTTATACACAGTGGAGTCCTACTGTGGTATAGAGAGGGTAAACTTTAGTTATTTATAGGAAAATGGATGCAGTTTGAGACCACATTGCCAAGTGAAATGAATCAGACACATAAGCTTAAATATCCTATTGTTTATCTTAAACAAGAAACTCAAAATATAAATAAAGCAAAGAGCAAAGTATAAGATGATAGGAAACAGGAAGGGACACTTCGTAGAGATGCAAAGATACAAGGATGGCAGAGGGGAGGGAAGAGGGAAAGGGGAAGCAAAATGGTAAAGATGCAATAAGTTTATATACCGATCCCCCAAGATGAATGTAATTACTATGCATCACAAACATATACTAACAATACAAGACAAAAGGATCCAAAACGATCTAGATGAAGCATTAAACATCAGAAAAACTACAACAAAGTAAAAAACAGCACAGTAGTGAACTAAGAAAGATAAAAGTAGAAATAAGTGGAATTGAAAACAATAATATGCAAGCACAAGGACCCGAGTTCAATCCCCGGTACCAAAAAAAAAAAAAAGAAAGAAAAGAAAAGAAAACAATAATAGATCTAGTTAGTGAATCAAAATATTTGTTTCTTAAAAATATAAACAATATAGACAAACCACTAGCCATATTAATAAGAATAAAACAGAAAAAGCAAAAAATATACAAAGAAAATACTGGAGAGATAACAGTTCAATAAAAAGTAAATTAATAACAGTATTTTATTCATAGAAGAATAGAGGGAAATGCTGCTCCATGTAGTGGCACACACCCATAATCGCAATTAATCAAGAGGCTAAGGCAGAAAGATCTCAAAATCAAGGCTAGCCTGGGCGATTTAGGGAGATCCTGTTGCACAAGAAAAAGGGCAAGATGGGAATGTAGTTCAGTGGTGGAGCACTTGTCTAGCATATGTGGAGCTCTGTGTTCAACATCCAGTGCTGAGAAGGAAGGAAAGAGAGGGGGGAAGGGAGGGAGAAAAACCTATTAAGAATTACTTTCCAAAAGTTATCAGTCCTTATGTGGTTTCACAGAAGAATTCTACCAAATTTTTGAAGACCCAATATCCCCAATGTTTCATATATTATTCCAATGCATTGAAAGTGGAGGAAAATATCCTAAATCTTTTTACAAAACAAGTACATTACCAATTACTAAGTTTTGTTTTGTGTTTAGTTTGTTAGTTTTTATTTTTATTTTTAATCAATATATAATTGTACATATCGGGGTACCGTGTGACTAATTTGATGACTAATTGTGATGATTAAATTAGAATAATTGATATTTCCATCTACTTAAATATTTGTGTTGGGAACCTATCAACACTTCCTTCTAGTTCTTTATAGAATACAACATAAATTGTGACAAACTTTAGTCATCTTTCTATGCTGTAAAACACCAGACTTT